TCTATTTTACTTTAACTCATTTCGACAACTTAGAGAATCTTACAATCTTTTCAAATATTTTTTGATGCTTACAATTGATCGATCCAGGGGAAAACTCATCCATCTTTTAGCTTCACCAAGAAAATTATATAATTCATCATCCAGTAATTTTCTAATGCAGACGCTATGTTGCTCGGTGGCAACTTGCCATGCAAGTTTTACTCTTCTTGGTGCAATTGGTATAAGAACTACTTCCGGTGTAACAGGATTTTCCGTAGTTCCTGTTATTTAATTTATATATATATATATAGTTAAAAAATATAATAAATAAGTAAAAAATGTGTTACAATAAAAAAATATTTTTGGATAAAGTAGAAAAATATATATAAAAATATATTTTATATATATGTATAAAAATATATTTTATTCTTAAGATATTTAAGATAAATAATAATTTATCTAAATTTAAGAATTTAGATAAATAAATTTTTAATCATTTTAATTTACCTGTTATGATTTCGGAATAATAACCTCTTCTTTTTATTGTTTGTTTCTCCATATTCATAACTTTCGATATAATCTATTTTACTTTTAAAAATAAAATTGTATTTTTACAATTTATGTACAAATTAACTTTCTAAGTATTAAAATAATAAAATATTTATTCTTCGATTAGCATTAAAAATAATAAAATACGTAATATATGACATTTTTAATATTCATTATGAATGTGAACTTGTCTGTTGCATTATTTATCGATATTTTTATTACAATTGTTTTCAAGAAACAAATCGTGGTAGTTTTTTATCAAAAAAGTCACTGTTGATGTTTTGACTCTGTTTTCACTATATCAATATCAAATATAAATGTAACGTGCGATAATTCTTCATATTATTAAAATTTTAAAATTATCTTATTATATGTTATATGCGATTATACGTTATCGATCTAGTGAAAATGATTATCGAATTGTCGAGTTCATTCACATTCCTTTCTTTCGATTTGATAATCGAAATCTCAATGCATTCATTTTAGTGTCAATAATTATTATGTAAATATGTCATTCTTGATCTTTCCGTGTTTTGTCTGTTGCATAAATTTACATTTATAATTATTCTTTATCATACGTATATTATGCAATTAATACAACATTATGCAATAATGTTTTTTTATTTTAATTATTTGGTTGCTAAATTCTTTTTTTTTTATTAATTTTCTTCAATTTAAAACTTCAAATTAAAACTTCAAACTTCAATTTAAAATAAGGTGCAATTCTAACCAATCAAAAAATTGCTAAAATCCAAGCACAAGATAAATCAGTGCGCATTATAGTGCGCATAACCTCAGTCTAGAATTGAAAATCGTGGCGTCGTCATATGTTTCTTCGGCTGAGATTCGTAATTATATAAAATTTTTATTTATAAATTATTGTATTATATTTATTGAGTTTAGTTAATAAATTATTAAGCTTTTTTAAATATTATATATATTCATTAATATAATTATTATATTAAAATTGAACGTCCTTATGCAATTTGATTGTAGCTTTAAAAGTAGGTTTTGAAAGTTTTTACGCATCATAATAATTAAAAGATATCCGACGAATTTTCATGCAAATATAGTAAGACTTTATTTATTTTAATGAAATGTAATTCTTATAAATTTTCTTTGTCTCTTTTTATGTATACAGAGATGGAAAACTAGATTGGTTAATATTTCTTTCCTCAATGTATCATCCGTTCAATTATGTATTATTATTTTTATTTGTTTTGATTTAAGTTCGAAGCTCCAATGTTGAAAATATTTTTTATAAGTCAGCCTTTCTAGAAAATGATGCTTTATGTCACGTTTGACATGTTTCGACATGTCAAATTATTGACAATATTCTTTGTGATTCAATACATCGATTACTATGTGAGAAATCATTCTCTTGTCGAAACTTATTCCGATTAAATATTTTGTTTCAGATGACTAATTTATTTCATTATGATATTTACTTAATTTTTTATTATATTTTATTCTTTTTATTAATATTTCATTAGTATGTATTTAATTATTTATTAATAATTTTTTGACGAATAATTTTTTTTTTATTCATCTATTTAATCAGAGTTATCAATTCTTATTGTGAATTTCTAAAATAGAATTGATCTAAATTATTATTTTATTTTATAATATAATTAGTTTAATCTTATACATTTTATATATTTAAATATTTGATTTTTTATTTTGCAGATAATAGATAGCTAATAGTAGATAAGCAGAGTATTGAGACTATTCTAGGGAGAAAAAAGGATTTTTAATAATATAGATTTTGATAATAATTTATAAATTTGAAATAAAATAAAAAAAGAAAATTGACAGCAAAAATTGAATCAAAATTGAAAAATTATGAAATTGTAAAAAATTATTAGGCAAGTTAAATTAGATTTATAATTAAATAGAATATTTTTAATTACAATTAAATTTAAGAATTAGTAAACTTTTTTAAATAACTTTCTAAATGAGAATTTTAAAAACTTATACAATAATAATAAAATTGAATTTAGAAAAAAATTGAAATATTCAGTAATTCTGCAATTTAGTAACTTTTTCAAATTTAATCTTTTAATTCTGATTCTTTTTTCATTTTATCAATAAAAAAAGAAATCAATCGAGAGAATTTTAAAAAATATTTTGTTACAAATACGAAAATTCTATATGATCATATCTATTATGTTTTTTATATTCATAAAATAATAAGATCGAAGAAATTAGTTATTACATATTAAATGAGATTAATCATAAGAATGTAAATTTAATAATAATGAATAAAATACATTTTTGAGATATTCTATTGTTTATTATCGTTTATTTTTGAGTCAATATTTTTTTCTTTTTCACGACTCATATTTAAAAAAATATGTCTTCATTAAAAATAATTACTAGATAGTAATATTTATATATTAAAAAAAATAGTATATAAATAGAATATACAATATAATATGCAAAAAAAAAAAAAATAGAGCACTCGTTACAATATTTGATAGATGAAACGAATCTCTATTTAAGTTCCATTTTTTAAATTATATTTATAAAAATATGAAATTTACATAAACATTTACAATCTAGTAATTATAATTACATACATTTCCATTATAACTTTTACATTAATTTTCGCATTTTAAAACCATGAAATAAATATTTTTGATTTTTTTTCGTTATTCAAGATTTCAGTTGCATTTCTTCATTTTTATATGTAGGATTAGTTATGGACTTCTGTTAAATAGAATGACAAATCGGATTTCATAGATAGTCTACATGATGCTTTACTAAAATTAATTGAATGTCATTTAAAAACTTATTTTTTAGAGGACTGAAAATCATAAGTCATATTTTGAGAAATTCATATTTTTAAATTAATATTTAAGAAAAGAATAATTTTTTTCGAATATTTTTATGTTTTTCGGTTTCAGTATTGAATTAGCTTTCATTTGTATAATAATTTGTATATAATTTTTTTAATAATAATAATTTATACTAAATAACTTAAAATAAAATAAAATTCTAACATAGTTTAATTTTTTATCAAGTGAATTTAGATCACTGATTTTCAGGCCTATTTGTTGATTCATGATCATTTTTAAAGCAAATACATAATTTAATTATATCTTTCCATTGTTCATATAAATATTTGAACGCGATTCTTATCTTTATAATTTTTCTATTAATATTTTTATAAAATTTCTAACTAATGTTTCAATAATGTAAATACAATATACAATATAATTTATATATCCAAAATGATTTTTCCTAAGTATACATATTTTGCAATAATCTATTTTTTTGATATTTTTCACGCAATTGATTAATTACATATTTAAATTAATAATATAGATTTCATAACATCGATCTTATAATTATTGAATTTTATTCTTCATTACACGTTTTAATCGTCAATCTAATTTTCTATTTTTTTATTTATTCTATCATATAATGAAATTGTACTATTATTTTGTTTTTACTATTATGCATTATTTTACAGTCAATTATATGTTTCTCATTACAAGGTACAAATGTAATCTTCATAGATTCACATTATGAAGATGATATAAATACGTGTATAAAAATATAAAATAATAAAAAATTTCATCATTACGACGGATGATGATTCACATTACGAAAATGAAAAAAACTCACTTATTGTAAACTATTCTGTAAAAAAGGATCGTTAATAATTTGTTGTAGTTTTTGAATTATACTTGAGCAATCCAATCGTTTAAACAATTATAATTTAAATTTTTTCTTCGATTATATAATCGACTATTATTTGATCAAAAATAACTTTGTAGTTATCAAATGTCTATATTATTATAACTAATCTTTATAATATATGGTATGCACATATTTACAATAGAAAATTTTACGAATAACGATCACTTTTATAAAATATGGCAGATTTTCTACCATTATTATTGTTATAAGTAAGTAATTAATTCCAAAATGAATTTCGATTTATAAAAGAATCGATAATAGCATCAATACTAATAATAATAGCAATATCAATGGCAGTGGTAGTAGCAGTCATAATAATAATTTTAACTTTGAAAACTACATATCACGAAATTAAATTTCCATTATTTTTAAAGTATTTTGAAATATAATCTATAAATTATAATTCACATTTTATATGGTTATCATGTTTAATTAAATATTTAAGTAAATAAAAACCAGCATAAATTATTTTATACTTTTATACTTATAAAAAATATTTATAAAAATTTCGACAAAATTAAATGTTTTGAAACTATATTTATATTTAATTATATTTAATTTGCATTTTTTGTTATTTGCAATTCTTTCTATTGTTAATCTATCAGAATCGAAAAAAATAATTTCATTGAAATAAGTATAAAATATCGAATAATTAAAATAATAAAAATCGTTTAATAAAAATCTGTAGAGAGAATGAAAATTCTCTGAAAGATTATTTCATTCGATGCTATTATATAATTCTTATATGTATCTATGTATATAAAATATACATATTTGGTAACTTGTAAGAAATTGTGTTCATTGATACGAAATGCTACAAACGTATTATAATTCTTCTAGAAAAATTTATGTAAGCCTCTATATCGTTATTGTTGTTGGTCCTTTCGGTTTAATCATCATCGTAGCACGTTTCAAAGTATAATCCCAACCTCTCCAGCGGAACCATACGATACCTTTGAAAAGAGAATTTTTTATTGAATAGATTAAATTGTGAATAAGTAAATATAAATAAATATACATGCATATATATCACCTTGTCGAGCAGTTAAATCCTGAGGATCATTCAAATAAAGACCATTTAATCCTCGTCCACAAGATTTCCACCACCATCCACCTTTCAACATGGAAGCACAATTCAACGATGATCTATCATTATCCCTACAAAACGAGATTTCGATTCAACATAATCCTTCTAAATATATATTTATGTGAATATCACGTTTCTTTTAAAATACATATTATATATTTAATTATTTTTTGTATACAATTTGCTTTGATATAATTCACAATTTTTACAACTGCTGTATAAACTAAAGTTTCAAATTAATAATAGTTAATAAATAAATAAATATAAATAAATGAAATAACTCAAAAAACAGCCGATTATATATGACATAATATTATTATGTCATATATATGACACAATATTACATGTAATTATATTTAAATTCATATATAACTTTACAAATTATATTATTTAACAAATGAAAAAGAATTATTACCTATTATATGTGGAGAAGGGACTATTGTTTGAACCATACCAAGGATCATTCAATGAATCACCGGCATTTCCATCATAACCGTCAATTTCTAATTTGTAATATTCTGCTTCTGAATAAATTTTGAAGTGAGAATATTGCGCATATCTACAAAAATATATATATATATATATTTATACAGAAACATTCGAAAATGTAATTATTAAAATTGAATAGATTTAAATATTTCTCAAATATTATCGAAATAAAAGCTTAAATAAAATCAATAGTCTAGTTGCTATTGTTATTTTTACCTTTTGTTACCTTCAAAATCTTCAAGTTCTACTCTGAGCATGTAATCTTCGTTATTCGTTAACATATATATATTTTCATTACCAAGCCAAAACTCTCGAGCAGGATCACCAAAACCATTTTTATAATCCGCCCAATCTCGATTGAAATTTTCTCTTGGCTCTCCAAAATCATCTCTTCTTTGAATGACCTATGCAAAAAAAAATTAATGAAAATTGGTGTTAAATAAAATTTCTGATCCGAAGAAAAATAAATGGAAAGGAATATATCAATTATTATTGGAATGATTTATTATATATTTCATTATAATTTCAAGAAATTGAATTGTACATCTCAATGTTTAAATGAATTGCTTACTGTCCAACCTCCTTCAGCAATATCTTGTTCACAATAAACCTTGAGAAACCAGTAAGTTGTTCCGCGAATTTGAAGGTAATAAACACCGCTATCTCTCATTCCTGCATTTAATAAATCAACGCACGAGTAACCCTATAACATTGAACAAGATATGATACATACATAATGTATATTGTATATATTAAACATTGACGGAAAAAATTTTTTCTTCTCAGATTTTTCATTATAAATAAGTATTATCATTATATTAGATCATTAATTTTTCATAAAAATTCCTATATATTTAATTTTTATATTTTGTAATTGTATTGTGAAAAATATATCTGTAATTGAAAATATTATAAGTGAAATAAATAATTTAAAATTAGTTTAAGTATAAAATAATAATAAAATAATAAATTTAAGTATCTGTAAAAAAAATGATAATAGAATCATCATTATTTAATAAGTACATATAATCCTATTACAAAAATTCATCATTAATTGTATTTCAACAATATATGAATATGTGAATTGACAAATGATATGTACAATAACTTTTATATGCTATTCACAGTTTGAGACAACTAATTATGAAAAAACTATAAAATGATTAATGAAATCCCCAAAACATATATATAATCAAATTACAACCATGTAATAAATTTTCAACCATGAACAATATATGTGCAACATAAATGTTCATCATATATATTTATATATTATAAGCATTTTCTTAAGCATTTTTTCTTTCATTCCTATTGATATAATATATTTATCAATAATGGAATAAATTCGTGTTTTCTTTACCTTAACATCTTTGTAACTAAGAAATCCATCTGTGTTAAATGTTGAATTTGCTGGACTTGGTTTGTTTTTGACACTTGGAAATATAACTCCACGATTTTTGGACGAGGATCGTTGTGAACTCGAAGGTGACGATATTCCAGGATTGGCAGTAGAATTAAAGAAATTTGCAAAACCAGTAACATTAGTCGAATTGTTGAAATTATTGAGCGACATGGTATTCGACGAAGTCGAGGAAGAAATGGACATCGACACCGATGAAACGATCGTAGTTGGATTCACTGGTGGTACGGTTGTTTCTCCTGGGATGTCATCGGTGAGACCAACATATCTGAAAAAATTTATTCTTCGTTAAAGATCGATGTCATATTAGTGAGTAATAGAATTTTATTATATAAGAGAAGAAAACCTGTTCGAATCATATTCAACCAGACGATCGATCGTAGGATCGAGGAGCAATTCTGCAGGAATTGGACGCTGGGCAAAATTAGCAACATCATCCTCCTGCTTCCGCAATCTATTCTCAACTCCTTCCAAATTTTCAATAATCTTGTTTGTTTTCAATCTTAAATCCGTATGAATTTCATTAATCGCTCTTTCCTGTCTTTGTGTTTGCGTAAGTAATTCATCAGATTTTGGTAAAAGATCGTCCACGGAACTTTTTGTACCAACCTGTTGACAAAAATATTCTTATGAGAATTGAATTTGAACGAATTTGAAATATAAATATAAATATAAATAAAAAAAAAATACAAATTTGAAATATGAATAAAAATTTTTTTTAAAAAATTCAAAAAATAAAATGAACTCAAAACAATGTCACGTGACAAATTTAAAATAATGATAATAGCATAACGTGCAATTACGTCATATTTATACGTATGTTCAAAGTTCGCATAATATTTTAAAATCCACGAATAAATCAATTTATGAGATTCATGTGGCTTTCGATTATTCGAAACAAAATGTATGTAAAATGTATGATCGAATTAAAATAAACGATTAAATTTTAACTTACTACAATATTCCAAACTTCGTCCATTTTTTCCGAAACGGTCAACATTGGATACATTTGCTCGACGAGTCGATCTATTTTACTTTGCTTTGGAGGTGGTTCGGTAGTTGTTGTTGTGATGTTGAACGGTGACCGAGTATTAGTAGTGCCTCTTACTAATATCGCATCGTGCACATCTGTCATCATGTTATAAATGGTTCCCAAACGATCAGAGACTAAATTGACGTGGAATTGTAATTTCCTGTCCATATTATTGGTCGCTTGCCTTAAATTTTCTATCTCGATCGTAATGTGATTTATTATTTCGTTGCTCATCGCTTTTGTTATTTCAATTACACTCATGCTAATCGGCTTCTTTTCACTGGCTTCAGCATTTATGTCGTCATTTTGTAAAAAATTATTATCCAACTGGTGTTTCAAATCGATCAATTTATTATCTATATCCGATACTTTTTGATCGAGCGATAATAATTTTTCCCCAAGAGTTTCCGACGATGGATTCTCTCGTTTTTGATGAATCGATTGCAATTTCGAGCCTATTTTACCGAATAGATTTAAATTTATATATATATATAATAAACTTGAATAATGAAAGATAAATATAAAGGAAGAAAAGAAGCAGAAGCATTAGCAAGAAGATAAAAGTGAGGGAAAAAGATGAAGAGAAATAGGAAAAAAGAAAAATATAGGGAAAACAGGATTGTATATAGGCATGTACATGTATGTATATCTATAAACAGATAATAGATAATATAAATGAAAAAAAATTAACTATTAATTTATATAGGATAATTCACAAATACATGTCCATACGCGATGAATTTATATAACAAAATAGATAAAAAAAATAATTATATATATAAATGTACTTTTTATATATCTTAGTTTTTAAATTGTGGATAATTAAAGAAAATATTTGAACTATTTTCCTTGTGTCTCAATACATGCTAAAACACGCCTTTATTGAACATTCACTTGAACATTCTACGTATTCTTTGAATAGTTTCAAATCCATTTCTTCTTTAAATCCTATTTTATATCACATATGTTGTTCACTTAAACAATACATTTTAAATGTCTTAAAAAAATAAAAATTTAAAAACATCAGATTATAATATTGATCATATTTATCCATTTTACTTATCCATAATTTATAAATTAAGGTTATGTACATCATAGGATTATTTTTAATATATAGATTCTAAAGTAGGGATATATTTGATATATAGATTGAACAGCAACTTTTGTTTATTATTGATATTTTAATAATCAATTGTATGTTACTTATATTACTTATATATTTCATTATCATTGCGTATACATACATACCACTTCTAATTTCACTGTCGTTTTTATCATCGATCGTTCTTGCCGAAAATGCAGATTCAGTTGAAGAAAATTCAATTGTATGAGAATTGAAAAGCTTTAGATCTAATGTTCTTAACTTCGTAATAACCGCATCAGTTTTATCAATATTATCATTGACACGTGAATCCAAAGCTTCCACTCTTCTCATCAAATGTTCTACCGCCTTATCCAAGTTTTCGATTCGTTGTAATTTCGATTCCAATGTCGAAACTATTACTTCGAAAACATTGAAGAGGTATTGCTCTCTGGAAACAAATTATAAAGGTAATGTAACGATCCATGATCCATGATAATGAAATACACTTTCATTTCAATTAAAAACTTTTTTATTTAAATTAAAAATTAAAAAACAGAACGAACTGATAAAGATTTATGTTATTGAGATAATGTATATTTTTTTTACATTATTCATATTATTAATAATCTTATATTATATCTATATTATATCATCTATTTCTATCTATATTTCGTTAGCATTTTTATTTCAACTACAAGTTGTTTGTTATTTTTTCGATTTTAAATTATATATAATCAAAAAGAAGGCACAATATACACAATGAGTGTCTATAGACATCGATGTATATATGTATAAGTATTTAAGTACTACTTACTTGCGTGGTGGACCAGAAGTGAAAGTGTACTTTTTTTAATCGGTTACAGAGTTCGTATCACGAATCTCGACACGTTGCTTCAGATACATTCGCTTTTTGAAAATCATTTATTACAAAAAAAAAAATAAATAAATAAATAAAAATAAAAAAACAAACTTTTTAATTAAAAACATAAATTCACATATAAACGATAAATATTTTCAATATGTATATTTTAAACTATAATATGTAGTACATTATTTTATGTATGAAATTTTGATTTCATATCTCCAGTAAGAAATTATCTCCAGTAAGAATTAAATTGTAAATGCAACTTTTCTAAGTGTGCTTTGCGTACTTTTTATTAGTTTTCAAAATTTTGCGTGAGAAATTAAATATCCATTAACGATGATGTATATAAAACAATTTAATCCATGATTTAGATTTGCAAAAAGCGAATAAATATTTATTAATTAATTTTTTTTGAGATCTTTGATGATAAAGGGGAATATTGATTATTATAAAAAAAAATTAACTAATTTTCCATTCCAATTCACCAATAAATACAATATTAATAATTTATATCCTTTTTTTTCATAAATTAATATCATATCTAAAATAAAATTGAACCTAAAACAACTTGCAGAGATATATCCTTTCTCTCTTACCATGTAATTTTACGCAATCAGTTCGCAGGTAGGTCAATAGTCGTACTCTCTGTCCTTATTACGGTCCTTTCGAATCTTATGATTCTGTAAAACCTAAATATGTGTACGTACTTACTTGCAGTAGAATGAAAAGAATGTGTGTAATGTATACTCGTTCACAATTAAAAGATTATTAAATTTTGAACAAAAAATTTTTATTTTTAATTTTTAAAAATATTTCAATTGCTTGTAACTTCATCAGGCAGAAATATTGTATAACAATCTATTTAAAATCATTTTAAAATCATTTTAAAGGATAAAGCTTCTACTTTCACGCAGCTGAATTGAATTTTCTTTTTTTTATATTGAAAAACAAATGAAGAAAACTAAAAATAATTTTTTTCTTAAATATTATGCAAATTATATAAAATCGATTCTACAATATTGAGAATATTATTTTACTATTTATTGTTTAGATTATAATATAGATATTTAAATTATAATATAATAGAACAAATTTTTTATATTAAGATTTATTAAAGTGTTCCTATATATATATATATATATATATAAAATTGTTTCATAAATAAAAATTTTTAATGAGCATACAGTGAAAGTAGGCATGGATATTATCAGAATTATTCGTGTAAAAGTATTCTAAAGCGAAACGGATGAGCAAAAACTAGCAACCGACTTGAAAGCTGGAAGCGGAATTATAGCGGGAGTTTACAACAGGTGACATTCCATGAGTGATAATTCCTTCCGTTAGGTTAAAAAAGAAAGCCAACAAATTATGAAACAAATACTATGACAAATTTTATGACAGATTAAAAGTAATGTAAAAATAAAAAATCTTTAGATAAATAATCTTTTCTAAAAAAATCATAAAACTTTCTATATATCTTCATGTATTAAAAATTGGAAAAAATTAAAACCTAACCTAATTATTATTAATTAATATTAATTTGATAATTCGTGATAATATTGATTTGATAATTCGTTAAAAATAAAAAAAATTGACGCACTAATATAATAATCTTAATAAAAAATGTATATATTTAAAATCCGCAGTGATTATAAAATTTTAAAGAATTTTATTTTAAGATTTATGAACTATAATATATGTGGAATATATGATAAAAAAAAATGCAATATATAAAAAAAAGAAAAAAGTCTTTCTTTTTCCTTAACATTGAAAAAATGATTATTTAAATTGAATTTGTTTTATATGAGGCAATAAATTATTCTGTTACATTATCGTTTGTTCCTTCCGAAGAATGTTGCGCAACCGTATTGTTATAAGTAGATCTTACAGATTTGTTACGCAACTGAAGGAAAACTAGAGCTCCGCATCGTCCTTTCTATCCTTGCGATCAATTCTTTTTCTTACGTTTGCATTCCTTTTATGTCCTTCTTTTTATGTCCTCGTTTCGAATAGCTATCTACTTATCTCATTTCATAGATTCATTATTATATTTGATGATTTATGATTTTTTGAAATCATTATAACAGTAATCGTACTATTGGCAATGAGAATATATTAAATTAGATTATTAAATAATTAAATAAAATGATTCAATAATGAAAAATTAAAAATTAAAAAATTGAATAATGTTGAAAGTTGCATATAAAAATTAAAGACAGAAGAACAATGAATATAATATGAATTATCATAAAATTTATATTGAACTCTTATTAAATATTATGATGAAAAAATTTATTTTTTTTTAATTAATGTTAATATTTGTCATAATGAAAAGATTAAGATATCTAAGAAGATATCTAAGAAGATTATATATCTAAAATAACAATTAACTTAAATGTTATTGTCGTGAGAATTTAAGTACAATAGTAATTGTATAAAGTAGATTAAAAAATGAAGGAAAAAAGATGGAAATCAACAAGTTTATATTTCTAAAAAAGAAAGTAATGTTTACAATTGAGATGCTTTGATAAAATTCATAAAATGTAACTTACATAAGTGATAAAAAAAATATTCTCGAGCATTTTTGCTGTTACTATTGAAAACCAACCTTTCGCGTTGTTCTGCGAAATTACATAAGCGAAAGTCTAACATGAACCAAAAGAACGACAACATAACGTGAGACAACACGACCCAACAATTTATAGTGGTATGCTATAGATGGTATATACGCTACTACATACCGCGTGAATTGAGAGGATGAAAAGAGAAAGTGAGAAAAAGGTGAATATAAACCTGTTTGAGACAATAGCGGAAATTCTTGCTTTAATTTCTTACGATTAAAGTTTAATTAAAGTATTAAGTCAATTATATCTGAATTACCATCATTTGTATTCATTTCATGATAAATAAATAACTTGTTTTATCTTTAACATAACATTAATTAATTAATGTAACAAAGAAATCAAGAATATATATGTTTCAAAATAACAAATTTGAAAAAATACAAAAAAAAACAAAGTAGAGAATTAATTGTATTTTTTTTACATTATAAATAATCATTATAACTAAAACAAAAATTTATATATTATAATTAAAAAAAGTAAAAAAAGATAATATTTTAAAAAAAATCGTATGATACGTTTCATTATTGAAATAAAAAATAAAGATTTATATGATAAATGAAAGAAAAAATACAAAGGAGCTCTATTCTATCCCAGGATTTCTAGCTAACAAATTAGAATTATACATCTATAGCTTATTTTTTTATCACTTTCTATATCACTTTATATCACTACATATATACAATCTAGAATATATTTGTATATGCATATGCAAAATATTACAATTATTCTTTTTTCTTTTATGTTTCTATATGTTAAATTTGTCAAAAATTTATATTTATAAAAAAGTTAATTTAATTTTTTAAAATTTATAATTAATTTTGTCAAACGTTTAAAATTGGTCAATAAATTGGATAGTACAAAAACTTAACAATAGATTACAAATATTGTCATTTTTCCATAATTCATTATAATATATTACAATATTTCATAATTAATTTCAATATTTATTCAATTCCAATATTCGAGAAAAAAAAATATTGATAAACTTAATTAGTTTTTATGACAACTTACCTATTTCGTTGAGAATTGCGGCTAGGTACCGGTATCGTGTTTCCAGTGATGTTGCCTCCATTGTTACTAACATTGCGGGTATTACGTTCATCAGCAGAGGTCCTGGGTAGTCTAGGACTTCCAGCGAACACGATACCCAGTAGACATGTGGTAAGTATTACGGCTTCTCTCATGATTGAACAATCGAAGAGTATTTAAAGGAATATGAAAGATAAGGACAAATGGATATAACAAATAATGGATATCAACGAGGAAATGAAAGGAAAAGGAAAAAAAACAAAAAAAGAAAAAGATGAAGACGAAGAAGAAAAAGAGAAGGAAGAAGAAAATAAAGAGAAAGAAAGAAAGAGTAGGGCAGAAATGAAAAACGGAACGAAATAAAAAATTCGCGATTTTAAAAAACGTACCAACGACACTCCCGACGAAGATCACTTAATGTTCGATTAGCTGTTAGCATGCAAGTTTTCTTTCTTCTTTTTAAGCCGAACATCCATTTATTGTTAATGTATTAAAAAAAAAATAAATAAATTCACACTAAACGATCTTCAAATTGAAGATTTAAACATGTACACAAAAATGTTAGACTTCAACTTAGTCCAAATTATATTAATTTAATCGAAGCACGAATCACTTAGAAAGATAGAACAGCTGTTGTAATGTACATGATTTTTCTCTTTAATGATTACCCATTTATAATTAAATAGCGATTTGTTATTGTAGCAAATATATTGATCACAACAATTTTCTTCCGATTCTCTCCTTTGATGCAACACAATGATCACATATGAAAATAAGAAATTATAAACATAACTTGATTTTATAATGTTTTTATAGTGAAACCATTACTCGTTCCATTTATATCACTCTTTTTAATGTCCGTTCACCTTGATTGAACGACGATTGTTATCTTCATATACATTTCCCTGATGAAGAAAGATATGTATGACAAACATTTAAATAATACAATTAATATTTCTTTTTCGTATATTGATAAATAAAAATTCAGAGAAAAAATAGAAAAAATAAATTAAATAAATATATTAGCAAAATATATCAACGCGTGTTTATGTATATATTTCAGAAACAACTTTCGCTCGAGATGCGAACCAAAATTGACAGATTAAGGAACGTAACACGACATATTTTATCATACAAAAAAAAAAAAAAATGAAAAAAAAATATTGAATCGATGAATTATATGCATATAATTGAATCACAGGCAAGATCAGTGTCTTTATTTAATTCTATTGAATTCAAATTATATTATATTATTCGTTCGCGCTAATGAAACAGGTTTCATTCTTTACCGAAGTTCAACAATCTATCTGTTTCCCTGTTCTTCCTAAGTGTATTATATTTGATACAAAACGATTGACAGACAAAAAGTTTACATTATATGACGGCTGTCTATCATTCTTTCTTATTCTTATGTTTTTTTTCACTTCGTCATTCATATATATCCTGAAATAACGAACAAAATACACAACGATATACGGCTATACGCAGCGTACTTTAACCTCGATACAAGCAACCAGACTACCGACACCATAAAGCACCAAGAAGTACCCGATCACCGCTGAATTGTAAGAGTTACTTTCACGTTACATACGTGTCTACGCTGAAAGAGTACCTATGTCTCTCCCCACTGATCTACCGGCCATTCTGGTCTCTTTCCGTCCTTTCCCTCTGTTAAAGCTGTGATCCGATCTGAAACGATTCGATCCGTTTGAATTCGTTCCCTGTTCCGTTTCGTTGCAACTTCTTCCCCTTCCTTTCCCTTCACTTCCCTTCTCTTTCTTTCCCTTCCCCATACCCCTTCCGATCGATGTTGCAGGTGACGAGAAACGAATAGGGATAACATTCGGTTAGAATGAAAGAAGTGTAGCAATCCGGAATTAAAAATCTTTCCTCTACTACCGCATAAATCTTAATCGGTCAGCTGCAACGAACAGCATTAAAAAAAACTTTATCTTTTTAAATGAAGATAAGCGAGTATTATAATACGTTAGCTTGTAATTATGTCACATCAATATTCTTCGAAATGATTATATGTTATAATAATACAAATATTTTTTCATCAAAATCACAAATAATTTATATACAATGATATAACAATTATGTTAAAATTATAAATAATATATTTAATTTATTGCGAATTAAATTAAATTTAATTTAAATGCAGAATGAAAATTGTTTTTAAATAAAACAAATAATAATAATGAATTAAAATTAAATCCAGCTTCATATTTTAGATTTTTTATTTTTGGTATTTTTTGTATTTTAAATGTAATAATAAGAAAAATTTATATAAAATGATTAATTCGAGAATATTTCTTACATTCTAAGAGAATGTTTCAGACTTTTCACCTTGATCGAGTGTCGATACAATTGTCGATCGAGAAACGAGAACATACTTGATATTACTGTGAAATGTACATTCCATGATTATCAGGGCGCATCGATATAAAATATGCAATAAAATATGCAAAAAAATATTAAGGATAGATAAATGAAATAATTAAAAATCGGAAAGAAATGTACGTATAAAATATAAAATAATTTGGAAAACTTGTCAAAAATAGAAAAGATAGAAATCGGATAAAAGTGAAGGTAAGCAAAGAGAAGGAAGCAGAAACAAGAGAGGGAGAAAAAAAGAGTGCATGTGCATATATGTATAAATTATGTATAAAAAAATAAATATATAAGTATAAATCGATATGATGAATTTAAAAACTATATAAATGGTTAAAATATTTCGCATAAGTTGGATAATCATATGAAAGTAATGTAAAAGCGATTAAAGTGAACGAACCGGTTATTTATCTGCTTGTTAGTCAATTATCCTTGCCTGATCAAAAATGGTATAAGGACAAGCAATATTCCATCGTAACGTGAACTATGAATATAATATAACTATTGAATACGTTACATAAATAATTTGTTATTAAATTTTTCTACATTATTTTATTATGTATATTTTTAATGTTTAGACTTATTTTAAGTCTAACAGTTAAATTATTATTATTTATTAAATTGAATAGTAATAATTGATATTAATTTATGAAATAATTAATATAATTATTAAATATTAATATAGGTATATAAAGTAAAAAAAGAAAAGATACAAGAATTAGAAACAAGTTTATGATTTTATTTATTATATTATCACGCATTTGGAGCATAACATGGTTTATAACTGTAATCTTATTACATTTACAGTATTTCAAATATACAAAATAACGACAATTTTTTTCCAACTAGATGGAAAATATTAATATATAATGCCATAAATATGATCTATCAATTTTTTTTCAATAATAAGGTCGTCGAGGATTATTCTGAAAATAAAAAAAAATGAAAAAAATTTATTAACATTATAAATAAAATAAGAAGAACGCTTATTCTATATTTATTATTGAATATATATATTTCATACATATGAAGAAATTATTACCAAAGGATTAGGCCTAAATCTGTAGGCAAGCATCATTCTTTTTCTGTAGGCATCAAATTCATCATCATCTCTGGACACACCATCAGGTCTTTCAGAACCTAAACCAGCGCTATCAAATCTATTAGTTGCTCTGTTAAAAAAAATAATAAATATTAAAAAAATTATTATTAAAAGATAAAAAATAAAACTAAAAAAAATAAAAACAATAGCTTAAAATGAATAATAAAATCGAATAATAATAATGAAAAGAGATTCTCTAGAAAAGATAATTATCTTTATCACTTACATGCACCTGGAAGTAATATAAAGATTATAAGTACGATATAAGAATGAATTACTTATTAATGGGTTCAATGCGACCATTGCCTTCACTACCTAATCCTTGTCCTTCACTCCAACCAAGTTTTTGTAACATCTGAAATCCTAAACAATTATAAACATTAATAATTTATCTATTGAATATGTTGTTAAAAAATTATATTATATCATAGGTATGCGCATAAATACACATTTTCACGCATACGTATATAAAATACGTACCTATATTGTCTTCTTTCAGTTTGTACTCCTTATAATCACTAAGATCAGGTTCTTTCCCTTGCTTAACTGCATTATATTGTTCCATAAATTTTTTAAGTTCATCTGGCGGTAAGAAATCACCAATATGATGTTTTCCTTCCGCTTGCGCTGTTAATTCTTCTGCCCACATTTGTGTTGCTTCCATTTCAGCAGATCTAAGTTTGTGCTCCCAAGTACCACCTTCCGTTTCTTCATCACTATCGTATTCATATTTATGTTTACCCTGTGCTTCCAAACGTCTTACTTCTTCTCGTTTTCTTAATAAATTTTGATATAGAAGATTTATCTAAATAAAAGTTAGGATGAATAGTGAGTCGATACGATTCGAGAAATTTAATCAAAATAATGAATTTGAGATCAAATTTTATAATCAATTTTATTACCTTATAATGATCCTCGGCTTTCTTCCATTGTTCCTCAGTAAGATCTAAAGTACCAAAAGTTTGTCGAGCATATTGTATCAAAGCTGGATCGTTTCTTGATATTTTAGTCAACATAGGATTTTTTGTTTCAGTACGTTGCACTTTCGGCGGAGGTATTATAACAGCAGGTTGTCCAATTTGTCCAGGAATTGCAATACCTGGCTGTGAAAAATTGCCACTACTTTGTTGTTTACTATGAGTGGTTATCGTGTTTATTTCTGATATGGGCACTTTATTATCTGGATCACCCCATCGGCTACGTCTTTTTCGTTTACGTTCTTCCTTATTATCCTCTTTTGTAGAATTATCCTCATTTTCTCTCTCTCGCTTTTTTTCTGCTCATACAAAAAATATAAAGTAAATATCAAAATCATAACATCATGATGACTCGATTCAAAATATATATATTATTTACCTTGTGAAGAAATATGTTTGTTAGAAATGGGGCCTTGATCACTATCGTCATTGTCGCTGAGAGCTTCCTCCGGACAATAGAGTTCCGCACCACTGTTTTTACTTTCCTTAGAGGATTTATCGGCGCGAAATTTTGCCACCAATCCCCTGTACTGCAGATAGGCTGCACTTTGCTTTTGGTGCAGAAACCTTGATTAAAATAATACTTAAGACTCTGACGAGTAACATAGTCTCCTAAATTAGATTCCTTTAGATTGAAAGAAATATAGTAACTTTGTAAAAAACGATTCGTAAATTTGCATTGCATGTGTAAAATAATAAATTTATTTTAATTTACTCGTTAATATTCAAATCTTCAACTATTATCTCCATCTCGTGAAAGAAATAAATTACAATAAA